CCAACATCGACCTCACAGTGAAATGGGATATATCTTGGCAACATGTATCGAAATGTGGGTCTTCCAACATCGACCTCACGGTGAAATGGGACATATCTTGGCAACATATATATTTAAAATTAAAATGACACACTTTCAGTTTTCATGCCTATTAGGTATTGAGGGCGCTACTCCTACGTAGTTTGTAATTTTATAACATAAAATAAAATAGAAGACTTATATGGAAAACTATCACTATATAGAGGTGACGTAAACTAAACACAATCACAGTGTTGAAACTCCAGTTTTCGGTTATTCATTAATTGATGTGGATCAAATTCCCCATAATGATAAAAATGAGTCGACATTTGTGTATCTGAATATTTTAGTTTAACCGACACCTTCCGGTCATGTGTGTTTACGTCTACTTAATATTCTTTTTATTATTATTATTATTATAAGTTATTCACAGAGAGATAAACTGGGCTTCAGGAGAAACAGTCTCTTCCCGCCACCTGTGGGAAAGGAAGTAGGTCTTCCGGTAATAGAAATACTAACCCCAGAAGAGAAAGCGAGTAAGGGGTGGGAACGGATGGGGTAATAAACTGTTGGGAAGAAAGCCTAACTTCAATTGTTAGGAGTTTAAACATTTTTGAAGTACCAAAGCGAATTAGAACGTTATCTCGTATACTTGATTTGTCAAATGTTGTCGTAAACATACACATATATCTTTGAGAATTTTATACGATGCAACAATAAAAGTGAACAAAGAAAGCAAAAAACTTAAGTGTGAATTTTATAGATGTAAACAAACAGACGAAAACTCTTTTTCGTACAAACAGGAGATAGAGCATGTGCTGATATAATTAACATTTGAATTCCGCAGTTAAAATTTCATGAGCTAAGCCGTTGAGTGATGACTAACATTGATCATTTTATCATTGGCTTGTTTATTGAGCTTAAAAAACTCTGAATTGAAATGATCAGAGTTATAATCATCTGTCTTGAATAGTTCAGTGTTTATGAACAAGCACATTTTTACTTATGTTAAAAGGATAATAACCAAGTATCAGAGATGTTAATACACCCTTATGACTGGAATACTTTATTGCATCTCTATTCTGAAGCATATAGACAGACACATCCTTTGCACCATAATTGTAAAATGATGGGAAAAACATATGTGACAAATAAAAACACCAAATGCCGAAAACAGTATGAAGTTGCGTATGCTATAGCGACATCTTTTCGTGAGTATTTCGAGTATTTCGTATGTTACAGTGACAGTACAATAACCACTTTCTGAAGCAGTAGAATATAATATACATTTACAGTAACCACTTACCGTGAAACACTATGTTATATTACACTTTACAATGGTACTTATAGTAACCACTCTCTGAGAACAGTGTGATATAGCTTTAAATTCCAGTGGCACTTATAGAGAGCCGCGTGATATGACGTATGTTACAATGACATTTACAGTAATTACTTCCCAGGAACAATACATTATTGTTGTACCAGTTTATATTGTTGGGCAGTTATTTTGAATTGTTTGTTAATAAGAACAATACAAACTCAAGCCCACTTGATGATAACTAAAGTGTCTTATGTCTTCGACTTTAAGGTAACTTGTTTACTGGTAGAAACAGTAGACGCTAATACAACAATTTCGCTTACTTGCTAATTATCTGTTATCTCTGTTCTACATCGCAAACACAACTTTCATCGTGACTTACAGGCTTGTCCATTAGCTAACGTTATCTCAGTAATTCACTGAATCAGTGTAACTTACGAACAGACTCAAAAATCAATAGTAATATACTCTATCCAACTCTGTTTTATGTTTCTCTAACAGTTCTAAAACTTTGAAGAAAATTGCAGAGACGTTTAGCCGCATTACCTGACATTATATCTCCATCTGGCTGAAGAACAATAAAACGCCGAAATTAGAAATATAGCCTTAATTAATTAATACTGTATAACATACTGTGAAACATAGATAACCTCTTACCGTATCGATATGGCATATTATAGCTTACAATGATAGTTGTGGTAGGTAGTATGGTATACTGAACGTTATGGCGACATTTACACTTGTCGAAAACAATATGATATACACTAGAGTGTTTTCTTATTGATGTGATATGTATGTTATAGTGACACTTCTTGTAACCATGTGCCATGAGCACAATGATATGATAAATTGACATTTACAGTAACCACCTACAGTTTGCAGCTTGGTATAATTAATATACGTTACAACGACACCTACAATTTCCTTATTCTTTAACCCTAAAATTGCCAACATTTTTTATGGTTTCCAACCGGTAGGTGGAGTCCACATATTACAACTTATTCGGTATAAAGAACTGACCTAAAATTTGAGTGAAATTACTTATTATCTACGTAAAATACCCAGGGGATCCTAGCAGTAATTATTGGAATTAAGAACAATGTTTATGGTGTTTTAGTTTGCATTTTTTGTGTGACTTGTTTGTTATTTATTGGGGACACTGTAATCAAGTACGTCATGGACCCAAAAGTATCTTGGTGCATAAAGAAACTGGTGGTTATGGACCCCATTGGTAATTTGAGGGTTAAGCAATATGAAGTGTTATATGTTTTAATAGTACTTATAGTTTGATCAGTTGCCGTGACGAGTATAGTATGTTATATGCTACATTGAACATACAGTAACCATTCGTTATTGATATGGTATGATATATGTTACAGTGAAAGGTACAGTAACCATTCGTTATTGATATG